CGAGGAGTGCTGAAGGAGTCAAGAAACGAATTTCAACTGGCACAGATTGTCAAAAATTGTATTTGGTGCCTCACTTCATTTATAACACGCTTGTCCGTACGCTTTTTTTCGTGATTGAACTTTCAGTTGATAAAATAGCATTGTTTTGGCTGAACCTAGGGCATCTCACGCGAGAAAGATTTTTGAAAAATTAGTTGCCCAGCCACAACCGTGGTTTCATGTGTCTTACTTATGAAGTTAAGGATCCCCAGGTCGCAGGATCCGACTCGATCTAGAGGTTTTGAACTGCTAAATTCATTAACACAACGTGATAGTCTTTCCGTTTGTCAAATTTCAATCAACTGGACATCTCACCCTGGTCATGAAAATAAATACTGTTGAATTTGTCATCATAAATTGGCATCGCCGAGGTGGCATAAAGTCGGAAAAGAACGGAAGAAACGTACAACTTTCTGTGTTAGAAGAGGAGACGTGTTGATTAGGCGTTCAGGCATTCAGAAGTATGATGGTTGCATACCGCTGTATGTTATGCAGAAAACGCTATGTATAGATTTTTTTCATCATTATCCATTCAGCAGGTCATAAGACGTGTGTGTCGGGATTTTGGGGCAACCCTATGCGCAAATGAATATCTGAGTAATTGATTGTTGTGATTATAGGGTGTGTGCATCCTCCAATTCTCGCATCCCATCGAAGCAGTGCAAGCAATTTCAATGTTCCACGGACAGAAGCTTTATGACCGTGTTTTGGTTGTGAAGATGGACAGATATGAAAAGGTAACAAAAACTTTCCCACGTGCACCAGTCATAGTTGTTTGTAGAACTGTTGAGTAGTTTCAGAGTGAGCCACCACGCGAGGGTGCCCTCCCCCGCGGACTCGAGGCTATTGGAGCTGGATTGGGAGCAAATGGAGCACCGCTCACAGACGTCGCTTCCGTAGTCGCATCTCTCCGTGGGGACACAGTAGTGCCTACGCCTATTGCTCCCGTTCCGGCGCAGGCCAGCCAGGTTTGTCTCTTTCCCTCGCTTACTGATAATGGATATTTCTGTGGCTTGAATTTGGCATTCCTGTTCTGAATCTCTTCCAAGGTAGTGAGTATGATGATTCTGGGTGAGTCTTGGAATGGAGGTGAAGGTTCTGAGGTGCGCTAACGGCCAAACAGGCCAAAAAAATCTATCGCAAATTCGTGAAAGGTCGTCCTTGTTTCGTTCGTTTATCCTGGTTGAGCTGACGACATGGAATTGGCTGTTTGTCTAAGGGTACCCTGAAGTAATATATAACACGGCAAGACTACACCATACCAGCGTTTTCTGCAAAATCCGTTGAAATGAAAATTGAAAGGCGGTCAGCGGATCCCGGAACCCCAACTATAGGCGAAGCGATTTGGGGGCAGGGCCATTTTTTGGGTTTACACCACAACTAACCCTTCTTTGTAAACGGCATTCATTTTCTTACCCCCTAGCCACCGCTTACAGTGGCGCATATTTGGAATGCATTCACTTTATCGTAACCACTGCTTTTAATCTGTAGTTTATAGATCTTCTAGGCAAAGAAGGAAATGGCATCGATTATTTGATTTTCTATCCTTTTTCTTTTGCTTGGCTTGATGCATCCACAGCATCCCTTATATAGTTTTCTGGTTGGGCAGTTGGGTTCGGGTACGAGAGGATAGCACTACCAGCTACTGTGCAGCAATTGCCTACGCATTTTGGTCACATTGTACCGTGAGGTGCGTTGTGTGAAGCGTGGCTTATAGTCTTGCGCCAGTTCCCGGTGCCCTTTCTCATTTGCCCTGGTGTGTCTTGTTCTTCGTAGACGTGGATGCTGTATCCATATTACCTGCTTTAGCATTTATACACTGCGTTTCATAAATATAGGTCCACCCTAATTTTTGCTATTCCAAAGTTGCTGTGCATTTTTGGAAAATGCCGCTATTACCAATAGTTTCCCCATAACGAAAAACCTTGATACTTGATTTCTGGAGAAATCTCGATTCAGAATTATTAAAATATCTTCCTTAGAACGTATTTTCACCGTTTCGCAAATATGACTACACATCACTTGTCGAGAGATTTTACTATAACGAAAAAACGTCACGAATTTTCAATAATGGGATGACCCCCCAATAATCATAAGGAACACAATAATACGTTTTGAAATGCTGGTAGCCAAATTAGCTATTACAGTAGGATCGAAATTCGTCTGGGCGCCGATGATCGACCTTTTCAGCTTTTCGGCTGTTCCATTTTGCTTTACTTTGCTGTGGAACTTTATAACAATTAAGGCCCAATGATTCTCTATTGGAATCTAATTCAGATAACATGGTGGCCACCAGATAACTGCCACATTTTTTCCTGCAATTCCATCTGGCGCGGAGGGACCGGCATGGACAGCCGCGTTATCGTGTGTGAAAATCAAGGATAGAGGGGATCCTTGTTGAAAAAATGGTAAGACTCGCTTCGAAAGAACTTCACGATACCCTGTGGAATCTTTGTGAACGGAAACAAAAGCGAGCTCTAGCTACTCAGTCGTTCAAAGGTGCCTCAAACCATAAGGGATTCACCGCCGAAATTACGTTACATTGAAACCATCTGCGATTTTCACGCGATCATCCTGTACCCTCTTTTTCTGCCATATCCACCTAGAATAAACTTTTCCACGTCGATCTCAGACCACCTGTAGAACGAAACAAGGAGGTAGAGTCCAAGATCGCGAAGGGTCTTAACAGCCACACCATCGCTCATTAAGTTGAGCCCTTTTCCACGGAGAAATGGAGACTTGCGATCTTGTAGCGCGCTCAAATAATCTTGGAACGCTCTTCATCAATCCGTTGAAGATGTTATTGCTCTGCTGGCTTACTCACCACACGGTGGTTTTGCTCACGGAAGGCCGCATTTCAGTACGGACTTTGTTCGGACTCCTTGTATAATTCGAGAGAAGACACCCAATTCCTCCTAAATTTTGAAGGAAACGCAGTCTTTATTTACCTAAGCGACTCTTCTCTCCGCACTGACCAGGATTTTGCACATAGTCGCTTATGCAGTATGAGCCGGCCGACATGGGAGGAAATTCTGCTCCTCAGCTATCCCACTTCAGTAAGTGCTCTAGCTTGAGCTTGTTACTGGGAAGAGAGGCGAATAACACGAGGTATGTAAACTCGATGTCGACTGAGCCCACATATTTCCCCGCTTCCCTGATTCCCTTCACGGATCGTGAGAAATGGAAACTTTTTATGAGTGGCCCGATATTCATGAAACGGTGAAAATTCGTTCTAAAAAGTTAATTGGGTTACTTGAGGGGGAATTTGTCAGAAAAACACTATGAAGGTTTTCCGTGATGAGGAATCTAACGGTGATAGCAGCATTTCCAAAAAATGCACAGCAACTTTGGGGTAGCAAAAATTTAGGGTGGACCTATAATTATGAAACGCAGTGTATTCTACTGTAGTCTTCTTCCTCTCAGCTGCTGTATCACTATGCAAATTTTATAATTGTCGTTATTAAGAGGCTGATGTAATAAAGTTACAGTTCTCGTCATTTGGAATGGGCTCCGGTGTGCTCTCTGGCAATGCTGCTTTCCAGTCAACTCCTTACTCCGTTACGCCGCATATTGCTAATGGTCAGAATTTTAGAGAGTTAGGTAGGCAGAGGTTGCCCACCTAGTTGTTGTAGTTTTTTTGTTCTATGAAATATTTGAAATTAATTGCTGCTATTGAACAGGCGCTGGAGTCGGGTCGTTTTCAACATCACTCGGTGCATTCGACGCAAGAAGAGGTCAGTGTTTTTCTTGGGCTCAAAGCAATCTAGTTGTTTAAGCTATTCCGTTACAGACGATTCCTTCATTGGTGCCGACTCGCGAAGAGGTGAGCTATCGAAACTAACAGGTGTGATTATGAACTTATAAATGCGTAAAACTGAGGTTCCTGCGTTGCGATGAGAATTTTTTAGACTACATTTTGCATTTTATTCACCACCAGTAATAGTCGTTTTTCAGATGATTCTCAGTTTGGAATGAACTACAACGTCAGCCGCGTTGTTGTTATCAGAAATGTAGGGTTTTCGATATCGTTCACATATGGCGTTTGAGGTGCATTTTACTATTCTAGCTACCACCCGACTACACATGGCAGATCGTGCGCGATCGAGTGCAGCAATTCGGAGATGCGGAGTCTGTTGAGATGATTGCACCTGGAGTTGCTCGTGTTCGCTTTGCTCTCATCCAGGTTCGATTGATGGTTTTTCCCAGCAACTATTCAATAATTAGTTAATCTCTGCGCAATCCATGCTTTTTAGGATGCTGAGCGTATGCGCGGAGCTTTGACTGGAACCAGCGTGGAAGGTCGCACAATTTCCGTGGAATACATGCACTAAATTCCAGATTCATAATGAAAATACCCCTCCCGCGTTGTTTTTCTAAATTCTGTTCAATATTTATTCTTTACGTTCTTCAGCTCTTCAATTGTTTTCTAATTAAGTTTTGTTGTAGTTAACCTTATAATGGAAATGTTTATATAGCGTTAGTTGTTCCTAAGGATAATGTCGCTCTTGTCGTTTGTGTTATTTGGTTTCTTCAAAAGAGGACAGCCGCTGTTGCCTGTTAAAGAGCAGTGGTGTCTCATGATGTTCATCGATGAGATCCTCAGACGGGCGGCTATTTCAAAATTTCCTCCTTTGTCAATTTTCCGTTCTTTTTAATCAGATACTCATAGTTTCCAACACTTTTGTTGACTCTTCTTAAAGGTCACTGTTGTAAGCTATTGGCATATAAACGTTTCTTTACCAGTGTGCATTTCGAGGAGGATTTGAACATGCCTTGCGAAGATTCGGAGATTGGTCACGGTGGCACCTCTTTCTTCTTGTCGCGACGCTATCATCCAGGCGTACGCTACTTCAGGCGAGTATGGTCGAGTCGAAAGTGCCTAGTTCAATCCGCTCGAAAATTCGTGGAATTTCGTGCCGAAGAAAGGTCTCGTGGCTTCGATTTATTTCTTGGAGGGTTGGCAAGGTTCGACTGTAGAGCATCAGAAAGGCTCATGAGCGCTAGGAACGTTCAGTTCCTAACTGGGCGCCTAGGTCGTGAGGGGGGACATTGAAGTAAGTGAGACACCTACAGAACTTGGAACTGAATCTTAGGGGAAGGGATCTGGAGGACGTGAGCAACTTTGTTCTCCCTGGCTTTCTCCCCTCTCCTGAGCTAATGTTTAGTCCCATCACCTACCAGCGGTTTAAGTGCCTGTTTTGAATGTCCTCTCTAATATGAGCGTCTTAACTGCCTATCTGGAAATCTGTCGTTCTCCACTAATACGCGCGGTTAGGGGGCTGCCCTGGAATACTTCGTTCCTTCTTCAATGTGGAAAGCAATTGTTCTTTGTTTATTAACCTTCAATTGGTTATGGAGGCCAACTCAAGATACGGGGGCTTCCTCTAAGACTAAGCCTGGGAGAAGGCAGGAACTTGGAGGTGAAATGAAATTATTCATTCACGTTGGAGTCTCTTCTCCTCCCAAAAGGCTTAGTCCCATTTTAGCAAAAGCAAAGGTTCTACGCGGCTTTTAGAATGCCCCCCCCCCGTGGCTTGAGACGGCGCCTAGTTTCCGAATGTCTTTTACCTTTATATAGAGTTTTCTATTGATCATTGTTCAATATACTCGAGATCCGTAAGTTGGGGTAGGCGTGTCACCGGAAGTGACGTGTGCTTGATAGAATCTATGTGGATAAGGGGCTTCCAATATACATCGCGAGATATCAGCAAAGCATGCTGGCAACGACTTATCTACGCAACTTCTATCAAGTCCACGTCACTTCCGGTGACACGCCTACCCCAACTTTCGGATCTCGACTGTATATGTAGCAACCTATTAGTGCTTGGTGTTGAGCAATTTTTCTTACTGACTGTGTACTGACCGGTTTGTTTTCTAGTTACTGAATCGGGACGTTTATTTTCAGTTTAACTCTTCTGCAGATGTACTACTCACATGATATGCCACACAAGGAAGGTGTCTATCGAGCTACTACCTTGAATCAGGCAACGGAAACCGCTGCTCAACCAAATGGAGTCATGAAAATACTGAAAAGATATATTGGTCAAAAAGTGCAGGATATCTGCCAGCAGATCCTTGTGGAAGTGATTAACCACCTGAATTATCATTGACTGTCGAATTGGGATAAAATACTTCTCATGATTTCCACTTGCCATATTGGTCAAAAAGTGCAGGATACTGCCGGCAGATCCTTGTGGAAGTGATCGACCACTTAATTATCATTGACTGTCGAATTGGATAAAATGACTTCTTCGTGATTTCCACTGGCCACTAGTACCTGTTACAAAGATTTAGCCCAACACGTATTGTACAGAATCTACGACGGAGGCAGTCAGGCGATTCGCGAGAGGAAAGAATGGATTATGCAGCATTCAGAGTTGGCGATCATACGGCGATTGGGCGACTAATTTTCAAGGAAAGGATACGTATCGATTAGGCGAGTAGGCGAGTAGACGATCACTCAGTGGGCGAAGCAACAAACCAATCCTCATCCTTCTCTTATCGCCTACTCGCATACTCTTTTACCCGCCCAATCGCCTAGCCGATACGTACCCTTTCTTTTGAATCATCGCCTATCGCCAACTGTGAACTCTGCCTTGGGCTGATAATGCTAGGCGATGAATGGGCGCAGGTAGCAAATCGATTCATGTCCTTTTCTTATCGCCTAATCGCCTAATCGCCTGATCTCACGTACGATCGCCAACTCTGAACACTCTATTACCTCATTTCGCGGCTTATCATGATAAAAGATTCTTGCCGAGTGATCATCCGGCAATGTAGTTACCATTCGGTTCATTCTTTAACTTGCATTCTTCATGGTAGGTTGAGTTCCTCATACGATTTCTGTAGTAGCACGAGAGCTTCTGGAAAGGTTCCAGAAGGGTAAGGGAGAGGAGAGGAACGCTAGGGAGAGCACAGATTGCTCACATCCTCCCAAGAATCACTTCCTCTTCCTAAGGCCTGCAAAGCCCAGTAATTGGCTCACTCACTTTAATGTCCTCCCCTCCCCCCCCCCCCTCGACTGCGTGAGCGCCGTTCAGGCTTACCAGGTTGGAAGGACGATCATGTCCGCAGACGCGATGGGGTATGCATCAGTGACAAGGGCATCGCAGAGCCTATCGGCAAAAGCGTGTCGCAATCGCCACCCATTACACCTTGGATCGTTTGTGAATATACTAACGGGTACTGGAGGCCAAAATGGGGCACAGACGACAGGCATGCTGACAGGATTGAACTGATTCCGCTTGCGAAGTTCACTTCCAGTCTTGACGCTGTGCCTACAATGAGCATAACCGATATCAGACTGCCAATCAAGCGATTCGCTAGTGAATCACTTGATTCGTGAAAGCCGACATCGGCCTATTGTGTACGTTCTGACTGCTACACACTAGCCGACGGGGCTTCGGAGGAAGAGAGTAACCCCCGTGATAGTGAAAGTTGCTCGAACTTCGCCTCTCCTTGTCTTCTCCGAAGTTTATTTCTAGGAGGACTAGGGTAGGGATGGGTGTTAGCTGCACGGGCTCTGCATGATGCCCCACCCGACGGCAGCAGCATCCTAGCATACTCCCATCTCGAAGTCAGATTAGGCGTGTCTATGGGTTTGCGTGACGTATCGCCGTATTGATGAAAGCTGCGCAGATGGCTGCATGCAACAGCTGATATCCAACGGGGTGTGTTTGAAAGAGCCTATTCACACGGCTTCTATCAGCTGCGGCAAGGGTCACTTCAAATCCATAAGCTAGCTATTTCTAAATCTGATTTCAAGATATCGTCTGTATGAATGTGAGTACGCTCGACAAGCGGATATACAACTGGAGGATGCCAACTCTGGATTTGCGCAACACTTCCCCAAGCGCTCCCAAGGGATGATCTTTCGACAGCTCCACATCGTCTTGCGATTGGCGGTTAGGCGAGTAAGCGATTAGGCAGGCAAAACTGTACACGTAGCGATTGGTTTGCTCGCCTCATTGAGCCATCACCTAGTCGCCTACTCGCCTTATCACCTCATCAAAACGTACTCTTTTTCTCTGAATCCTCCCTTATCACCTGATCGCCTAATCGCAGATACAAACGCGAATATGGTGTACGCTGCCTAACTTTCAAAATGACAAAATGAACGTTGAAAAACTTCGACCGGTAACCACGGGGGTGGTAGTAGACATTTAGCAAGTGCTCTTCTGAATTAACGATAGAACATGCCGGACATGGGACATGGAATGTTCACAGTGAGGGCACGGCGATGTAAAGAAGGTTATGAAGCCGGGAAGGTGAAGGAGAACGTCTAACGGAAGGAGAGAGAATGTGTGCTATCAAGAAGTAGAGATGTCTGGTCGTTAGCACCGGTATATCATGAATCAAGGGCAACCAAAGCGAACAGGAGGGAAACTGTCAGGGTAAGCCAGGTAGGAGTGAAAGAGGCCGGAAGTTTATGAAGGCGATATCGTTGCAAAAAGCATAAACCAATGAAAAAGCGATACGCAACATGAATTGAAACAAAAACAGAGCGGGCATGAATATCAAAGGGTTGCACGAACGGCTTACGGGCACACGCGGAATCCAATAGACTTATAACAATGGTGCCAAACTCTGGAACTCCGGCCGTGGCTTGATGGGATGTACGAACGAGCGCCTCTGATGTCGGAATTGGATGAAGCTTCAGTCAAGCTGCGCAGCTCAGAGTTAATGCGAAGCGACGCCTTCAGTCCAGCCGATTTAGGTTCTACACGCATTTGTGAGGCAAATTGTTTGGCCTGCTTAGCTGAAAAAGCATTCGTTTGACGATCCCTCGGGACGTCAAACGAACACCTGGACGACCGCCTACCCGATAGTCAGACTTCTTCACGAAAACTCTGAACGAAAGGAATGAACGGCTTCGTGTCCCTCGAGCGAGGAGGGTCCACTGGCATTCGGAGCACGGGCAGGCAAATGGAGACTTTTGCGTAACGCCCACGTCTGAGCAAACTGTGAAGATCAAGGCGGGGACACAGGCGCATACAGGGTGATAGTCTGAGCAGCACGGGAGTATTGCGGACTTGATGTTGAGGGGTTCGCTCCTTTGCTATCCTCGGTCATGGTCGTTAGGGCTCGCTGGCGTGAAGCGCAGCCATTTATTTGTTCTGGTCAGCCGGGCTCCATCAGCGTCACTGTCGTTATAGTAGCCTACAATGTATATGTTTCGGCGCGTCTTCTGGATGGGACCTTTCTGTTCGCAGGAAAATACGGCATTCTCTCCTCTGTACGTCAATTGCCGGCGCCGTCGCTTTGCCTGAACAGGAGCCACCCACGAAACGCCAAGCCGAAATCGGTTTCACATAGCCTTCGTTTTTGAGAT